GTTTTGAGTCCTCAGGAATCATATTCGTCTGTGACATTATATTAATAACTGGCTTGTTATCATTAATGTCTATCACTTCAACCGTAATCTTACATGAATCTGTCAGTCCTCCTTCATCGCTGGCTTGTACGCGTATTTGATAGAGACGTGCCTTTTCATAATCGACATTACTTTTTAAGATCAAATCCCCATTTAATTCATTGATCTCAAACATGTCTCGTACATCTGCAACTGTGTTAGATATTGAATACGTTATTTTGGAATTTGATCCTTTATCAGCATCTGACGCCCTAACTTTGGTTATGACTGTACCTTTGGGTGCGTTTTCGGTTATTGTAGCTTTGTAAACTGTCTTCGTAAAAGCAGGTGCATTGTCATTGACATCCAACACTGTAACGTGTATCTGTGCGGTGCCAGATAGGTTCGGTTCCCCTCCGTCCACCGCAGTTAACACTAGAAATATCTCCTCTTGCTTTTCTCTGTCAAGTGACTTTTGTAACACCATTTCAACTATATTTTCTCCATCGGGTTGATCTTTTAATTTCAGAACAAAATTCTCGGTTTTTGTGAGAAAATAATTCTGAAGACCATTCATGCCGACATCGGAATCTATTGCCCTCTCTAACAAGAATTTTGCTCCTATTGCAGCAGATTCACTTATTTTGAATTTCATGTCAGATTTTTCAAATATCGGAGTGTTGTCATTAATATCTGTAATTTCGACAACAACCGTGTAAAATTCCATTGGATTTTCTAAAATAACCTGAAAATGCAAAGCGCAGGGCGTCGTCTGTTCACAGAGCGCCTCTCTGTCTATTTTCTCTTTGATAAGGAGGACTCCTCGTTCTCTGTTCAGCTCGATGTACTCTGCGCTGTCTCCTGTAAAAATCCGAGCTTTGCCTGATGTCAGTCTTTTTCTGTCCAGACCTAAATCCTGAGCGATGTTACCGATTAAACTCCCTTTTGCCATTTCCTCGGGAATGGAGTAACTGACCTGTCCGACCACCGATGTGAGAGAAAGGATCGAGAGAAACAAAAGCACTTGCCGTCTCATTGTTCGGTCCTGCATTCCCATAACACACGAATCCCGCTACAGTCTTATTTCCGTTGGAACAATAATCCGATGAATTTCCTCGATATAAACAGGAATTTGATGTAACCGATGAATTACAGTTAACTGCAGCAGCCTGTTTTGATGATGGCTGCTCTCTTACTCTGTAATATTCACTCTGCGTGTGTGCTTTCCTCTGATTTGAGAAAAAAAAAGTCGATGGGGAGGTACTGCTGAAACCTGACCAGCAGTTATCACAGACTGGCCAACAGCGGCCCTAAGAGTTCAATCTAACGTACTACACAAATCTGTACAAATGGAAAAGTATTGAAGCATATAGATTTGGCTGAGAGACTACTTTACCACCACTTGTACCCTTTAATGCTGCGCCTTTAAACCAAGGCTGAGGTGTGGAACATAACTTCAAAGGTACAACACCCTGAATCAGACAGCAGCATTTTCAGGCATCATGAAATCGGTGCAAATACTGATCAAATATAGTTGCAATCTTGTGTCTGCAGAAGCAATACCTCTTCCACTTATATGAACACACAAACAAAGAATGAAGACAGATCTTGAAAGCGTAGGTTGCGTCATTTGACACTGACACTGAAGACTAATCTTTTAAGGTACATAGATCCCGAATTAATCTATAATGGGTAACATGTATGTGTATTCAACTAAACTCAACTGTATGTAAATTCAAACATAATACAAATATAAGCCAAGATGAATCCAATATAAATACACGATTAAAAACAAAAAGTGATACAAAATAATTGAATTAAATGTATCAGTGATGAATAAGCACAGTTTATCAAATATTCAATCTATGCAATTCTATCAACTAAAAATATAGTCATTTGATAAATCTAGCTCAGTTTTCTTACAACTCAAGACAAAGAGTTCGGTTATGTGTTTCATTGAATGTAAAAACAAAATTATGTCATTGGCAATGTTAAAGTAGTCTAACCTCTAGAGGAGAGTCTGGTTCATCCAGGATGCTCTTTTCACTCTGTATCCGCTGCATCGTCCCTGTAGAACTGGGGTCCATTATCAGCACGTTCTGACTACCAGCTCTGCCGAACTTACAGTCACTCTTTCTGGAGTCAGTCGTCCTGCACACCTCGTAATTGTACACGTGTTGGAGAGTCCCTGTCCCCAAAGTGTCTGAGTAACGTGGAGGATAATATGGAATCACAGGGAGATTGGAGTGATACAGGACGCGAGACTGTCTCCATCTGTAGATTTTCACTGATATAATAACCACTAAACACGTGATGAAGAGGAATGAAACTACAGCCAAAGCCAACACTAAGTAAAAAGTCAGGTTGTCATTGTACTCCTTGTCGTGTGTAAAGTCAGTGAACTCCGACAGCACTTCAGGGAAGCTGTCCGCCACCGCCACGTTAACAATGACTGTAGCTGAACGAGAGATCTGCCCGTTGTCCTCCACTATAACAGTCAGTCTTTGTTTCACAGCATCTTTATCAGTGACTTGGCGGATAGTTCTTATTTCTCCATTCTGTAAGCCCACTTCAAACAGCGCCCTGTCTGTGGCTTTCTGCAGTTTATAGGAGAGCCAGGCATTCTGTCCAGAGTCCACATCAACAGCCACCACTTTAGTGACCAGATAGCCCACATCTGCTGAACGAGGCACCATCTCAGCCACCAGAGAGCCACCAGTTTGGACTGGGTACAGAACCTGAGGAGGGTTGTCGTTCTGGTCCTGGATCATTATTTTCACACTCACATTGCTACTGAGAGGAGGGGAGCCTCCATCCTGAGCTTTGAGACGGAACTGGAAATCTTTGATCTGCTCGTAGTCAAAAGAGCGCACTGCATGGATGACTCCACTATCAGCACTAACGGACACATATGAGGAGACTGGCACTCCGTTAACAGAGGAGTCCTCCAGTATGTAAGAAACACGGGCATTCTGGTTCCAGTCAGCGTCTCTGGCTTTCACTGTGAATATAGAGAGACCTGGTGTGTTGTTTTCTACAATGTAGGCCTCATATGAGCTCCTCTCAAAAACAGGCGCGTTATCATTCACATCAGAGATCTGTAAGGTGAGAGTGACGCTGCTGGAGAGGGAGGGCACTCCCTCATCAGAGCAGGTCACTGTGATATTATACTCAGAGGCTCTCTCTCTGTCCAGATCACTGTCTGTCATTATACTGAAGAAATTATTTGACGTGGAGGAAATTGAAAATGGAATGTTCTCGTTAGTGTAACACTGAACTTTTCCATTTTCACCTGAGTCTGGATCTTGAATATTTACAATTGTCACAACAGTGCCAGGCTGAATGTCCTCTCTCACTACACTTGACTTTGACATGACATTTATAGCAGGTATATTGTCATTTGTGTCAACTATTTCCACTATAACTTTACTGGAATCCGTTAAACCTCCTTCATCACTGGCCTGGACATGTATTTGATATTGTCTCTTCTTTTCAAAGTCGGTGCTTCCGACCAATCTAACTTCGCCGGTCTCTGTGTTAATGTCAAATATTTCAGATGCATCATCAACAGAGTTCAATATAGCATAGGATATCTTTCCGTTAGATCCATCATCTAAGTCAGAGGCACTGACTGCAATCACTATCGTTCCTGCAGCTGAATTTTCTCTTAAAGCTGACTTGTAGATTTTCTGCGTAAACACTGGAGCATTATCATTACTATCCAGCACATTTACATTTATCTGAACTGTCCCGGAGAGCTGCGGATCACCACCGTCTACTGCGGTCAATACAAGCGACAAATGATCCTCATTTTCTCTATCTAAGGGTTTCTGTAAAACCATTTCTACCATCTTGCTTCCGTCAGCTTGGTTTTGCAGTCTCAACACGAAGTTATCAGTTGGCCTTAACAAATAACTTTGAAGGCCATTTATGCCGACATCCAAATCTACAGCCTGATCCAGCACAAATACTGTTCCTGTAACAACTGACTCACTTATTCTGAATTTCATTTCACCTCTTTTAAAAATAGGGACGTTGTCGTTAATATCTGTAACCTCTATGGTAATGCTATAAAACTCCATAGGATTCTCTAAAATAACCTGGAAATGCAAAGCGCAGGGCGCTGTCTGTGCACAGATCGCCTCTCTGTCTATTCTGTCTTTGACGAGGAGGACACCTCTCTCTTTATTTAACTCGATGTACTCTGGACTATCGCCCGTATAAATGCGAGCTTTCCCTGATTTTAGTCTTTTCACATCCAAACCCAAATCTTGCACAACATCACCCACGAAAGAACCTTTAGGCATTTCCTCTGGGATGGAGTAGCTGACCTGCCCAATCACTGAACTGAAAGAGAGAACCGAGATAAACAGCAGCACTTGCCGTCTCATTGTTCTGTCCGTCGTCTTCCTGTAAAATGAACCGCGTAAAATTCTCATAAAAACTGATGTTTTCTTCAGAGATGATCCTTTTTACGTTCTCCGGGTGTTTTTAGTCACCAGTTGGATTGAAAATTACAGAAGTAAAAGAGCAGTGTCCGTCCGAATAAACGTTTAGATCTCTGGTCTTCGTATTCTGTACTGTTCCTTGTGTCTTTCTCTCGTTCTCTATCTGAAATGATGGGGGAGGTACTGCTGATTTCCTCTCCTTAACAAACACAGACTGGCCAACAGCGGCCCTAAGAGTTCACCATGCTGAACTACACAATACTGTGGAATATGGAAATGATTCAAGGTTTCTATATGGTCGGATTCTACATTCAGGTGAGCCAGTTGCGTCAATTAAACAACAAATAGTAGGATGAATAAAATATTACTTTAACATTTTGTTAGGTAAATGTAGCAGCACAAAGCTCAACTTCACAAAAAACAAGCAAACTAGAGCTTTGTGAAGTACGTGCAGCCATGAGGAAAGGTTTACACTCGCTGTAGGACAACGATATGTTTTAATGTTACACACACACACACACACACACACACACAAGCACGCGGGGGCACACTAACGCACGAGCTCTTGAAACTCGCTCTGTCCACAATGCTATTTTAAAGCTGTAAAATCATATTCCTTCCAAAGTCTAAGTCATCCCATTGTGGAGGGTTTACATTTGTCCAATTAAACCATCCATGATGATAAATCCAGTATTTATTATCAGGCTTCGAAAAGATACATTTCATATCTCAAAAACAGATGAAAAACTGCGCTCCACAAGTCTTCTGAGCAAAAGAAGTTAGTTCCTCCTCAACATGGAGTAAACTGAACATGTAAAAAGGTCATTGTAGTGTGTAAAGTATGATTGAGTGATTGCATTTTTAATAAAGTTTTTCAGATAAAAAAAAAAGACACCTTTTGCAACATATAACGGAAACGAAATGTTAAAACCATCCTGATGAAATAAAAAAAATGCCGTTTAAGTGAGAAGATTTGTTGAAATTGAACTGTTAGGAAACGGTTCAAAGTGTTTAAGAACTTTCTTTAATTCCAACACAAAGTCACACTGCCACACTGAACAGTCCTCAGAAAATTTAACATTCAAAGCATTAGAGGTGAGGAAGCCTGAGGAGCTGTCCGTGGTGCTGAATTGAGAAAAAAAAGTCTGAAAGTATTTTCTGAAATGGAAACACACTATTTTTGTAACATCTGCAACTTTATACAGAAAAAAACGATTACACCCTTTATGTTAGTACTACGAGTCCTGAAGCACAAATCTGGTGACAGGCACGGTTTAAAGAAAACAATTTGTTCATATGGATGAAAAGTTCAGAATATGTGGGATTACTTTTCCTGTAGTATGCCATTAGTTAAATCCTTATTTATGTAAAACTGACCTCTAGAGGAGAATCTGGTTCATCCAGGATGTTCTTTTCACTCTGTATCCGCTGCATCGTCCCTGTAGAACTGGGGTCCATTATCAGCACGTTCTGACTACCAGCTCGGCCGAACTTACAGTCACTCTTTCTGGAGTCAGTCGTCCTGCACACCTCGTAATTGTACACGTGTTGGAGAGTCCCTGTCCCCAAAGTGTCTGAGTAACGTGGAGGATAATATGGAATCACAGGGAGATTGGAGTGATACAGGACGCGAGACTGTCTCCATCTGTAGATTTTCACTGATATAATAACCACTAAACACGTGATGAAGAGGAAGGAAACTACAGCCAAAGCCAACACTAAGTAAAAAGTCAGGTTGTCATTGTACTCCTTGTCGTGTGTAAAGTCAGTGAACTCCGACAGCACTTCAGGGAAGCTGTCCGCCACCGCCACGTTAACAATGACTGTAGCTGATCGAGAGGGCTGCCCGTTGTCCTCCACTATAACAGTCAGTCTTTGTTTCACAGCATCTTTATCAGTGACTTGGCGGATAGTTCTTATTTCTCCATTCTGTAAGCCCACTTCAAACAGCGCCCTGTCTGTGGCTTTCTGCAGTTTATAGGAGAGCCAGGCATTCTGTCCAGAGTCCACATCAACAGCCACCACTTTAGTGACCAGATAGCCCACATCTGCTGAACGAGGCACCATCTCAGCCACCAGAGAGCCACCAGTCTGGACTGGGTACAGAACCTGAGGAGGGTTGTCGTTCTGGTCCTGGATCATTATTTTCACACTCACATTGCTACTGAGTGGAGGGGAGCCTCCATCCTGAGCTTTGACGCGGAACTGGAAATCTTTGATCTGCTCGTAGTCAAAAGAGCGCACTGCATGGATGACTCCACTATCAGCACTAACGGACACATATGAGGAGACTGGCACTCCGTTAACAGAGGAGTCCTCCAGTATGTAAGAAACACGGGCATTTTGGTTCCAGTCAGCGTCTCTGGCTTTCACTGTGAATATAGAGAGACCCGGTGTGTTGTTTTCTACAATGTAGGCCTCATATGAGCTCCTCTCAAAAACAGGCGCGTTATCATTTACATCAGAGATCTGTAAGGTGAGAGTGACGCTGCTGGAGAGGGAGGGTACTCCCTCATCAGAGCAGGTCACTGTGATATTATACTCAGAGGCTGTCTCTCGGTCTAAATCACTGTCTGTCACTAAACTATAGAAACCATTGGATGTAGATTTGATCACAAACGGGACGTTTTCACCGAGGATACACTTGACAAACCCGTTATCGTCAGAGTCGGGATCATGTACAGTCATTACAGCTATTACTGTGTGAGAGGGAGAGTTTTCCGGAATTAAACGTGAGGTTGATATAACATCGATGAAGGGCTTGTTGTCATTAATATCAATTATATCTACCACTAACTTACTAGAATTTGAGAGCCCTCCTTGATCCCTAGCTTCGATATCGATTTGATATTGTTTTGACTTTTCATAATCAACATCGCCTATCACATGCACATCGCCACTGTTTTCGTCTATTTCAAAATGATTCAAAATTCCAACCGTGCTACTTGATATTGAATATGTTACTAATCCATTAGAACCATTATCTATATCTAATGCATTTAATGTCATCAATAATGTACCTCTAGGGGAATTTTCCTGCAAACGAGCCCTATAAATGGGCTGTGTAAACACAGGAGCGTTGTCATTTGCGTCTAATACTGTAACGTGGATTTGTACAGTTCCGGACATATTTGGCTCTCCCCCATCATTAGCGGTTAGCAGCAGAGAGATCTGCTCTTGTTTCTCTCGGTCCAACGCTTTCTGCAAAACCATTTCTACCTTTTTACTATCATCAGCTTGTCCGTGTAACTTCAAAATGAAATTATCGGTAGGATGGAGTGAGTAACTTTGGAGGCCATTTATCCCGATATCGGAATCAAATGCCCTTTCAAGAACAAATTTGGCACCTATCATTGCGGACTCGCTAATGTCAAATTTCATTGAATCTTTCTGAAAATTAGGAGCATTGTCATTAACATCGAGAATTTCGACTGTGACCCTGTAAAATTCTATGGGATTTTCCATAATGATCTGCAGATGTAAAGCACAAGGCGTTGTCTGTCCACATAATGCTTCTCTGTCTATTTTTTCTTTGATGAGCAGCACTCCTCGTTCTCTATTCAGCTCGATGTATTCTGCGTTATTTCCAGTATGCAGTCGAGCTTTGCCGGATTTTAGTCGTTTTATATCCAAACCTAAATCTTGTGCTATATTACCAACGAAAGAGCCTTTCGCCATTTCCTCCGGAATGGAGTAACTAACCTGTCCGAACACTGAGCCGAGGGAGAGGAGAGAAATAAGCAACAGTACTTGCCGTTTCATTGTTCTGTTTGACACACGGTATTACTGCACCACGAATCTGTTGAAATAGCTTTGGCCTAATTTCCGTCGGATAATGATTCACGTTGGATCCTGTTGTATTCAGAAAAAAAAAATCGAACCAAAAACATTGATAATAGCGTCCAAATTATCCCCGTTTGCTCGAGAAAGAATGGCGGTTTCGTATTACTCCTCTCTGCAACACGGACTGTGTAAGAGCTGCTTCTGGCTGGCGCACACTAATAAAGGGAGATGGTGAAAGAGGTTCCACAGTGAGTCTCGACTGATAAAGCGACCTACTGGCCGACAGCGGCGCTCTCCGTTCACTACCATGAACTACAAAACTACATAAAACACACCGTAATTGTAAATGGTACGGAGCCCCTAAAGGGACATGAAAAAAAAAAAAAATGAAACGTTTCTAGTGAGCACTAGATAGTATCTTGTGCTCACTAGATAGTATCTTGTGCGCACTAGATAGTATCTAGTGCTCACTAGATAGTATCTTGTGCTCACTAGATAGTATCTAGTGCGCACTAGATCCGTATCTAGTGAGCACTAGATCCATATCTAGTGCGCACTAGATATGGATGAGTGTTGGCTCATTTAAATATTAAAATTAGCCATGTGTTAATAGGTCACAACACGAAAATGTAACCAATGAAATTACTTATTTTGACACACATTTTAAGCCAATACGTATTAAACTAACAAGGTAATGTGTCAAAAGGTGGACTGTTTTTGTTATTTTCTCAAAAGGAGGACAGGCATTTAAATGCGGACTGTAATAAAAAAGGTTACAGATTAATTTACATTTATTTTTTACTTAGTGACAAATTAGTTTAATACTCATTTGAATATTAAAATTAGCCATGTGTTGATTCACCACAATATGGATAGTATCTAGTGCGCACTAGATAGTAGTAAGTATTGGCTTAAAATGTGTGTCAAAATAAGTAATTTCATTGGTTACATTTTCGTGTTGTGACCTATTAACACATGGCTAATTTTAATATTTAAATGAGCCATGTGCTGATTCGCCACAACACTCCATCCATAGGATCTAGTGCGCACTAGATCCGTATCTAGTGCGCACTAGATCCGTATCTAGTGCGCACTAGATCCGTATCTAGTGAGCACTAGATACTATCTAGTGCGCACTAGAAACGTTTGATTTTTTTTTTTTTTTTTTCATGTCCCTTTAGGGGCTCCGTAAAAATGGAGAGTATGAGGCACAAAAAAAAAAGAAATTGCAATTAAATAAGTGTATCTGCAATACTATTCATAAATATAGACAAAGGGTACAGACATTGTGTGGAATATTCATTCTTGGGAAATTAAACAATATTAATAACAAATGAATAAAACACTCAAACAGTCATATTCAGTGTGAAAACGGAACTGTAATTCACTGTGCATCCAATAGAGAAGAAAATAAGAGATCATTGCCACTCATACCTCTAAAGGAGAGTCTGGCTCATCCAGGATGCTCTTTTCACTCTGTATCCGCTGCATCGTCCCTGTTGAACTGGGGTCCATTATCAGCACGTTCTGACTACCAGCTCTGCCGAACTTACAGTCACTCTTTCTGGAGTCAGTCGTCCTGCACACCTCGTAATTGTACACGTGTTGGAGAGTCCCTGTCCCCAAAGTGTCTGAGTAACGTGGAGGATAATATGGAATCACAGGGAGATTGGAGTGATACAGGACGCGAGACTGTCTCCATCTGTAGATTTTCACTGATATAATAACCACTAAACACGTGATGAAGAGGAAGGAAACTACAGCCAAAGCCAACACTAAGTAAAAAGTCAGGTTGTCATTGTACTCCTTGTCGTGTGTAAAGTCAGTGAACTCCGACAGCACTTCAGGGAAGCTGTCCGCCACCGCCACGTTAACAATGACTGTAGCTGAACGAGAGGGCTGCCCGTTGTCCTCCACTATAACAGTCAGTCTTTGTTTCACAGCATCTTTATCAGTGACTTGGCGGATAGTTCTTATTTCTCCATTCTGTAAGCCCACTTCAAACAGCGCCCTGTCTGTGGCTTTCTGCAGTTTATAGGAGAGCCAGGCATTCTGTCCAGAGTCCACATCAACAGCCACCACTTTAGTGACCAGATAGCCCACATCTGCTGAACGAGGCACCATCTCAGCCACCAGAGAGCCACCAGTCTGGACTGGGTACAGAACCTGAGGAGGGTTGTCGTTCTGGTCCTGGATCATTATTTTCACACTCACATTGCTACTGAGTGGAGGGGAGCCCCCATCCTGAGCTTTGACGCGGAACTGGAAATCTTTGATCTGCTCGTAGTCAAAAGAGCGCACTGCATGGATGACTCCACTATCAGCACTAACGGACACATATGAGGAGACTGGCACTCCGTTAACTGAGGAGTCCTCCAGTATGTAAGAAACACGAGCATTCTGGTTCCAGTCAGCGTCTCTGGCTTTCACTGTGAATATAGAGAGACCTGGTGTGTTGTTTTCTACAATGTAGGCCTCATATGAGCTCCTCTCAAAAACAGGTGCGTTATCATTCACATCAGAGATCTGTAAGGTGAGAGTGACGCTGCTGGAGAGGGGAGGGTACTCCCTCATCAGAGCAGGTCACTGTGATGTTATACTGAGAAGCAATCTCTCTGTCCAATTCACCTTCTGTCACTAAAGTAAAGAAATTATTTGATGTTGACGTGATTGTAAAATGAATATTTTCATTTAAAACGCAGTGGACTCTGCCATTTTCATCTGAATCTGGATCCTGAACGTTCATCATTGTCAGAACTGTCCCTGGCTTAACATCTTCAGATATACTGGATAACGCTGACATAATATTGATAGCTGGTGGGTTATCGTTTGTGTCCAATACCTCGATAATAACTTTACATACGTCTGAGTTACCACCTTCATCTGATGCTTGGACATCTATCTCATAATGCCGAAATTTCTCATAATCAAGTTTTCCCATTAAAGTTACCACACCGTTGTCCTTATCAACATGAAACATTTCAAGTGCGCCCTCTGGAACATTAGAGATTGAATATTGTATGCGCCCGTGCGGACCTTCGTCTGCATCAGAGGCACTCACAGTGGTAAGAACAGCTCCTTTTAACGAATTTTCTTTTACATTAGTCTTATACTCTGTTTGAGTACAAACAGGTGCATTATCGTTAGCGTCTAATACAGTTATTACAATTAGCATTGTTCCAGAGAGCTGAGGGTCGCCGCCATCTAAAGCGGTCAAAACCAAAAACAACCGCTGCTGTTTCTCTCGGTCAAGATGCTTCTTTAAAACCATCTCAACATTTCTACTACTGCCAATTCTATAAGGGTTTAAACTGAATATGCCACTTGAACTCAGCGAATAGCCCTGAAGCCCATTTACTCCAACATCGTTATCTATTGCCTTTTCTAAGACAAATTTAGATCCAATTTGCGACAATTCATTAATATCAAATTTGATTTCACTGTTTTTAAAACCGGGAGAGTTGTCGTTAATGTCTGTGATCTCGACAGTGATGCTGTAAAACTGCATAGGATTTTCCAATATTATTTGAAAATCAAGAGCACAGGGCGTCGTCTGTCCGCAGAGCGCTTCTCTGTCTATCGGTTCTTTGATTACAAGGACTCCCCTTTCTTTATTCAGCTCGATGTATTCTGGCCCTTCTCTAGTATATATGCGGGCTTTCCCTGTTTTCAGCCGTTTCACATCTAAACCTAAATCTTGAGCTATGTTACCGACTAAAGATCCTTTAGCCATTTCCTCAGGAATGGAGTAGCTGACCTGCCCCAAAACTGAGCCGAGAAACACAAAAGACATAAACAACAGTAGGCCTACTTGCCGTGTCATTGTTCTGTCCGATATTCTGTCGTCCACAAAAGAAGATATTAAATCCCTTATCCAGTAAAAGGTTTGTAGATACAAATGCCAGTAATCAAGAATCCACACTGCCAAGTGAGCGGATAATTTGCCTGGTACCTCCGTCTTCGATCGTCTCCCCTCTTCCTAAACGTGCGTTTTAATTATGTTTTTTCTCTTCCTCCGTAACATTTCTAGATGATGGGGGAGGTACAGCTGCAATGAGCTCTGAAATCTCAGCCGACTGGTCAACAGCGTCCCTGTGAGTTGGATGCACTGAACTACACATATTCCTATTTTTATGTTGCTGATCACAGTATGTGTTCAAATATGGTATTAATGTATACACGTTAATTACTAGCAAAATTAGAAATAACTTAATCAGTGAAATGTGACACACGCACGCGCGCGCACACACACACACACACACACACACACACACACACACACACACACACACACACACACACACACACACTGAGCCAGCGATGTGAACACACGGAGGAGACACACTGTAAAAGCAAAGGTACACAGCAATGCAAAAGTTCAATAAAGTACCCCTGAATGTTGTGCTATCCATGGTGCTGACAAGAAACACAGGAAAAATAGGCTGTTCGTTTAACACTCCAAATGTAATGAACCGTTTATTCAGGTTTACTGAATGTATTAGTATTAAAATATTTACAACAAAAAGGAAAAGAGAGGGGGGAAAAGTCAGGAAAGAAAGGACAAGGTACCTATCTAATTTTGCCAACCAATGCAGGTTTTGCAGATCGCAAAGACAATAACTACTTGGTTCAAATTATTAAAAGGTAATAGTTTGACAAGTAGATTATATTCAAATATTTGAATTTTTAAAAAGTCACTGGTTTATGTTTGTAAAATTGGAAATGCTCAGATTAGCTAACTTTAATAACTGAAACATCATCATGAGCAAGTATGATATTTGAGAAAGTATAATAGTAAAAAACAACACTGAAAGGCAGATTCATAGAACTTTATAAAAAGAGAAAGCCAACCTCTAGAGGAGAGTCTGGTTCATCCAGGATGCTTTTTTCACTCTGTATCCGCTGCATCGTCCCTGTAGAACTGGGGTCCATTATCAACACATTCTGACTACCAGCTCTGCCGAACTTACAGTCACTCTTTCTGGAGTCAGTCGTCCTGCACACCTCGTAATTGTACACGTGTTGGAGAGTCCCTGTCCCCAAAGTGTCTGAGTAACGTGGAGGATAATATGGAATCACAGGGAGATTGGAGTGATACAGGACGCGAGACTGTCTCCATCTGTAGATTTTCACTGATATAATAACCACTAAACACGTGATAAAGAGGAAGGAAACTACAGCCAAAGCCAACACTAAGTAAAAAGTCAGGTTGTCATTGTACTCCTTGTCGTGTGTAAAGTCAGTGAACTCCGACAGCACTTCAGGGAAGCTGTCCACCACCGCCACATTAACAATGACTGTAGCTGAACGAGAGGGCTGCCCGTTGTCCTCCACTATAACAGTCAGTCTTTGTTTCACAGCATCTTTATCAGTGACTTGGCGGATAGTTCTTATTTCTCCATTCTGTAAGCCCACTTCAAACAGCGCCCTGTCTGTGGCTTTCTGCAGTTTATAGGAGAGCCAGGCATTCTGTCCAGAGTCCACATCAACAGCCACCACTTTAGTCACCAGATAGCCCACATCTGCTGAACGAGGCACCATCTCAGCCACCAGAGAGCCACCAGTCTGGACTGGGTACAGAACCTGAGGGGGGTTGTCGTTCTGGTCCTGGATCTTTATTTTCACACTCACATTGCTACTGAGTGGAGGGGAGCCTCCATCCTGAGCTTTGACACTGAATACAAGCTGCTTGATTTGTTCATAATCAAATGAGCGCACTGCATGTAGAACTCCAGTTTCAGAGTTTATGGATACATAAGAAGAAACTGGGCTGCCACTAACCTGCGTTTCCTCCAGAAAGTATGAGATTCTTGCATTTTGATTCCAATCAGAGTCTTGTGCGATAACAGTGAATATTGACATGCCAGGGACATTATTCTCAGTGATAAAAGCAGAATAATTTGGTTTGGCAAAGAGCGGTGCATTATCGTTCACATCAGAAATTCTTAGGTGTAAAGCTGTTTTAGTAGAAAGTGGGGGTGACCCTGAATCCGTTGCAGTTAGGGTTATGTTGTACTCAGCTTTTGTTTCACGATCAAAGGGTGCATCTGAAAGCAAATTGTAATAATTAGTCAAAGAAGACTGGATTTTAAAGGGAAGATTAGAATCTAAGGAGCATGTTATCTGACCGTTTCTTTCAGAGTCTGCATCTTTGACATTAAAAACAGCTATAGTCGTGCCTGGAGAGACATCCTCTGAAATCAGGGTGGAGAAGGACATAATATTTATGACCGGAGCATTATCATTTATGTCAGTGACCTCAATGACAACTTTAGTTGCGTCACTTAAGCCACCCTGGTCTTTGGCGATCACTCTTATTTCGTATTTTTTGTCCTTTTCAAAATCAATATTATCAGCGACAGTTATTTTGCCGGATAAACTATCAATTTCAAATGTTTCGCCTGAATTCCCCTTTACATTAGAAAAGGTATATGTAACCAAGCTATTAGAACCACTGTCGGCATCTGAAGCATTCACAGTAGTTATATAGGTGCCTATGGGTGCATTTTCTGTCACCGTAGCAGTGTAGAGTGTTTGATTAAATACGGGAGGATTATCATTGGCATCAATCACAGTTATATCTATATTTACTGTACCAGATCGTTGTGGCGTTCCTCCGTCCACTGCAATCAGCTTTAAAGAAATGTGTGGATTAAATTCTCTGTCTAATGGCTTCTTTAAAATCATTACGGCGAATTTGATTCCATCGGCGTTGGAGTGTTGCTTCAAAGCGAAATTATCATTAGGGGATAAAATATAATTTTGCAAGCCGTGAATCCCTGCATCAGGGTCATAGGCGCTTTCTAAATCGAAATGCGACCCTATTGTTGCAGATTCACTAATTTCGAGTTTAATTAAATTATTTTTGAAAGTGGGCGCATGGTCATTGACGTCTAATATTTCGATTGTCACCCGGTGCAGTTCAATCGGATTTTCCAAAATAATTTCGAAGCTGAAACTGCAGGGTGTTACGTCTCCACAAAGCTCTTCTCGGTCGATTCTCTCATTCACAACTAGAACTCCTTTGTCTGTTTTTAGCTCAGTGTACTGATTGTTTTCTCCGGTCACGATACGGGCCCGACCAGAACGGAGCCTTCTCAGATCCAAACCAAGGTCTTGCGCTACGTTACCGATAAGAGAGCCCTTCTTCATCTCCTCCGGTATTGAATAACGGATTTGGCCGTTGATGATGGAAATCCTCACGGCAAAAATGAACAGATGCCATGTAAGTGTCCAACACATCAGCCATTTTCCGCATCGACGCTGGCATATACCCATGTCGTAAAGAATACAATCCTAAATGCAGCGGTAAATTATATCCCTACAGCCACGCACGTAGTCGAAAGCTACCTTCCACTTCAGCAGTGCTGCATTTCCGTCAAGCAAAATGGTCTATTATTATCAAACAAAAATGCCTCTTTCCAAGCGACTGTATTTCCGTCGAAGCCTCCTTGTCTGAAGACAGTGTTTCTGCCTCTCCTCTTTCTCCTCTCTTTCACTCTCCTAACACAGTTTTCCTGACCAACAGCGTCACTTAGAGTCCAAACGGAGGAAAAGAACCGGGCCATCTGCCAGTAGGTTAAAATACAACATTCCTATACAATCCAGTCTGGGAAATATAGGAATACAACTATATAAATATATGAAATATCTCAACCAACCCAAGATGTAACATTAAATCACAAACTCTAAACATAAACAAACCACAAACAGAAAGCCAGTGATTTACAGCACTGTTACTAAACCAAACTCTTTTTGAAACTGCCCAGCATTGTAGTTCTGAATGTATGAATAACATTCAGTTCTGCCTGCAGTTAAATTGAGATGTCAAAGAGTAACTACAACGGAAAATGAGTATGTCATAGTAAAAAAAAAACTCAAGTAAGACAGTCAGCACAAAAGGGCTATTTTATTGCAACAAAACTAAATAAAAACAAATTATCAGTCCGATTTAACACACAATAAAAGAGTTAAATAAATGTGCATGTGAAATAATATAACAGCATATCATTGTCTGAGAATGTAAGTAATTTTATCTTTTTTAAGTTCTGAATACGAATACATAAGCAAGTGATGTAAAACGAGATGCTGTCCAAGGTGCTGAAAATGACGGCATAGCGCAACAGTTTACTATCAGTATAACTAAACCGAAAAGCGGCAAAGAGCTAAATTTTTTAACTAACCTCTAGAGGAGAGTCTGGTTCATCCAGGATGCTCTTTTCACTCTGTATCCGCTGCATCGTCCCTGTAGAACTGGGGTCCATTATCAGCACGTTCTGACTACCAGCTCTGCCGAACTTACAGTCACTCTTTCTGGAGTCAGTCGTCCTGCACACCTCGTAATTGTACACATGTTGGAGAGTCCCTGTCCCCAAAGTGTCTGAGTAACGTGGAGGATAATATGGAATCACAGGGAGATTGGAGTGATACAGGACGCGAGACTGTCTCCATCTGTAGATTTTCACTGATATAATAACCACTAAACACGTGATGAAGAGGAAGGAAACTACAGCCAAAGCCAACACTAAGTAAAAAGTCAGGTTGTCATTGTACTCCTTGTCGTGTGTAAAGTCAGTGAACTCCGACAGCACTTCAGGGAAGCTGTCCGCCACCGCCACGTTAACAATGACTGTAGCTGAACGAGAGGGCTGCCCGTTGTCCTCCACTATAACAGTCAGTCTTTGTTTCACAGCATCTTTATCAGTGACTTGGCGGATAGTTCTTATTTCTCCATTCTGTAAGCCCACTTCAAACAGCGCCCTGTCTGTGGCTTTCTGCAGTTTATAGGAGAGCCAGGCATTCTGTCCAGAGTCCACATCAACAGCCACCACTTTAGTGACCAGATAGCCCACATCTGCTGAACGAGGCACCATCTCAGCCACCAGAGAGCCACCAGTCTGGACTGGGTACAGAACCTGAGGGGGGTTGTCGTTCTGGTCCTGGATCATTATTTTCACACTCACATTGCTACTGAGTGGAGGGGAGCCTCCATCCTGCGCCTTTACTACCAGCTGGAGTTGTTTAATTTGTTCATAATCAAACGAGCGCACTGCGTGGATAGCTCCAGTTTCACTGTTTATGGAGACGTAAGAAGAGGTTGGACTACCATTGATCTGTGTTTCCTCGAGTAAGTACGATATTCTAGCGTTTTGATTCCAGTCAATGTCCTGGGCTTTGACGGAAAATATGGACATTCCAGGGGAATTGTTCTCTGTAACGTAAGAAACGTAGCTAATTTGATCAAATAACGGGGCATTATCATTCACATCAGAGATTCTCAGACGTAATATTGTTGTGCTTGACAATGGTGGCGATCCCGAATCCGTGGCTCTTACAGTTATGTTATATTCCGGTACAACTTCTCGGTCAAAAGATGAGTCTGTTACTAATGCATAGTAATTAGTTAATGTTGATTTTATTTTAAATGGGAGACTGCTGTCTGTTGTACAGGTAATTTGGCCATTTTGCTCCGAGTCTGCGTCAATCACATTAATTATTGCCACTGTGGTACCGGAGGCAGAATCCTCTGGCACTGGACTGGAGAATGACATCACATTTATGACAGGTGCGTTATCGTTTACGTCAACAATTTCAATTAGCACCTTACTTGAATCTATCAGGCCTCCTTGGTCCATAGCTTCAATCATAATTTCATATTTCTTATCTTTTTCAAAATCCACTTGTCCTACAAGCGTTATGGTCCCCGTTATTTCGTCTAAATTAAATATGTCAGCCAGCTGCTCTTTCATGTTTGAAAATCTATATGTGACGAGGCCGTTTGATCCACTGTCTGCATCACTTGCATTCACTGTCGTGATATAGGTGCCTTTTAATGCATCCTCCGAGACAGTAGCCCGGTAGAGAGTCTGGTTAAAAATGGGAGGATTATCATTAGCATCGAGAACAGTAATATCTATATTTACTGTACCAGATCTATGCGGAGTTCCACCATCAACAGCAATGAGCTTCAGTGATATCCGAGGCTCGCTTTCTCTGTCTAGTGGTTTTTGTAAGATCATCTCGGCATATTTTCGACCATCTGGACTCGAATGCTGCTTTAAACCAAATATTTCATCGGTAGTTAGTATGTATTTCTGGAGACCATTAGTACCTACATCGGCGTCTTCGGCACTGGGTAACAAAAAGCGTGATCCCAGTGTGGCAGATTCGCTAATTTCGAATTTAATTTCATCCTTTCTAAACGTCGGAGAATTGTCATTTATGTCAGTTATTTCCACTGTCACTCGGTGTAATTCCATCGGATTTTCTAAAATCACCTCAAAGCTGAAGCTGCACGGTGTTACGTCTCCACACAGCTGCTCCCGGTCTATTCTCTCGTTCACGACTAAAATGCCTTTGTCTGTTTTCAGCTCGGTGTACTGGATGCTTTGTCTTGTCACGATTCGGGCACGGCCAGAACGAAGCCTTTGCACATCCAAACCAAGATCTTGAGCAACGTTTCCAATGAGAGACCCCCTTTTCAGCTCCTCCGGAATTGTATACCTGATCTGGCCACACACGATGTGACTGAGACACCAAAGGAACAGCAGAAACTGCCATGTTGATCTGCTATACAAACGCCATTTTACACAAAAAGGAGGAGATTTTTCAAACGCCATTGTACAAATAAGAGAATATAATATCAGCAGCCTACTGTATACTATCCATCGAAAACAGCTGCATCAAGTAATCCTTTGATTTTAAAGTCCTCGCTCCGAATGAAATCGTGGCCGTCCTCCTGCGTATGAATCACAGTTTGCCTTCTCTCTCGATTAAACAGGAAAATGAGGGCTGTGCCTCCACTGAATCAACTCTGAACACTTGTTTCACTAACCAACAGCGTCCCTTACTGTCCAAATCATGAATATCATGAACAGAGGCATAAAATAAAACTCAATTTACCAAGCACTTTTCTGTAGAAGAGCCAGAAATGCACATCAAAAGACTGTAATCCATTCTTTTAAAGAGAAAAACGAAAACAATACATTTGTTTTAGTTTTTGTTATATCTTTTTTGACCAAAATGGTCACAAAACTATCATTAATAAAAACGGAGGCTTCAGTCTCCCTGAATCAGCATTAACTTACATTGGACAACAGGATATAAGGCTTTGAATATGTGAAAATGTATCTATAACAGCTTTAGTAAACGATGACATTAAGTACTCACAAAATATTTTGCATTAATAGGCTCCTAATTAAGCAGCAGTCCACAAAGGTAATGTAACCCACAGTCAGTCGAGCTGTCCATGAGCTGTGGTTCTGAAAATGCCTCATGGGTTGCTACACGTGAGCAAGAAACCACTGTTTGGTAAGACGTCTGAAAAGCACAAACCTGATAATAGGTGAATATGAATATTACAAAGGCCTCACCTCTAGAGGAGAGTCTGGTTCATCCAGGATGCTCTTTTCACTCTGTATCCGCTGCATCGTCCCTGTAGAACTGGGGTCCATTATCAGCACATTCTGACTACCAGCTCTGCCGAACTTACAGTCACTCTTTCTGGAGTCAGTCGTCCTGCACACCTCGTAATTGTACACGTGTTGGAGAGTCCCTGTCCCCAAAGTGTCTGAGTAACGTGGAGGATAATATGGAATCACAGGGAGATTGGAGTGATACAGGACGCGAGACTGTCTCCATCTGTAGATTTTCACTGATATAATAACCACTAAACACGTGATGAAGAGGAAGGAAACTACAGCCAAAGCCAACACTAAGTAAAAAGTCAGGTTGTCATTGTACTCCTTGTCGTGGGTAAAGTCAGTGAACTCCGACAGCACTTCAGGGAAGCTGTCCGCCACCGCCACGTTAACAATGACTGTAGCTGAACGAGAGGGCTGCCCGTTGTCCTCCACTATAACAGTCAGTCTTTGTTTCACAGCATCTTTATCAGTGACTTGGCGGATAGTTCTTATTTCTCCATTCTGTAAGCCCACTTCAAACAGCGCCCTGTCTGTGGCTTTCTGCAGTTTATAGGAGAGCCAGGCATTCTGTCCAGAGTCCACATCAACAGCCACCACTTTAGTGACCAGATAGCCCACATCTGCTGAACGAGGCACCATCTCAGCCACCAGAGAGCCACCAGTCTGGACTGGGTACAGAACCTGAGGAGGGTTGTCGTTCTGATCTTGAACATTTAATTTAACTGTAGTATTGCTGCTTAAAGGCGGCGAACCGCCATCTTGCCCTTTGACAAAAATATTTAGAGTTTTAATTTGCTCATAGTCAAATGAGCGAACTGCATGTATAACTCCACTTTCTGCGTTAACAGATATGTAGGTGGATATCGGGTTACCGTTTAACTGAGTATCAATAAGCAGGTAAGACACTCGTGCATTCTGCCCCGAGTCAGCATCGTGTGCTTTCACTGAAAACACAGATAATCCTGGGGAGTTATTCTCCACGATATTAGCTTCATAATAACTCTGTTCAAATACGGGGGCATTATCATTAACATCAGATACTCGAAGTGGTATTGTCTTGTTAGTGGATAGTGGTGGACTGCCTTCATCAGTAGCCGTGAATGTGATACTGTAATCAGGAGTACGCTCCCTGTCAAGGACACCGTTTGTCACCAGAGTATAATAATTCTTCAGAGATGAGCGGATTGCAAACGGGATATTGCCGTTAACTGAGCAGTCAACTTTACCATTTTTTCCTGAGTCTAGATCTTTTACATTTATGATAGCTACTGTAGTTCCACTCGGAGAATTCTCAGCGATGGCACTAGAAAACGAGGTTAGTGTAATTACAGGTGCATTATCATTAACATCCGTCACCTCAATTATTACTTTTGTTAATGTGCTCTGTCCACCTTGATCTTTTGCCTGCACGCCAATCTCATATATCTTATTCTCTTCGTAATCAATCATACCGTTTACAGTTAAATCGCCGCTGTTTTCATCCAGATGAAATAGTTCAGCAACGTTACTAGACATCCGATTAAAGTGGTACGTAACACGGCCATTCAGCCCTTCATCTGCATCAGTCGCGCTCAGGCTCACCACTAAGGTTCCTTTCAGAGCATTTTCTTTAACTGAAGCCTTGAAATTTGACTGTGTAAAAACCGGAGCATTGTCATTTGTGTCTCGCACAGTTACATGAATTTTTAGTGTCCCTGATCTCTGTGGTTCACCGCCGTCCACAGCAGTGAGCATGAGAATCAGCTTTTCTTCTTTCTCGCGGTCTAAGGCATTAGAAAGATACAACTGTGCATATTTATTACCATTTGGGCTGGACAGGACCTTAATGTTAAAATGTGTCGTTGGGTGTAACGTATAACCGTGTAAAGCGTTGATGCCAACATCGGGATCGGTGGCACTCTCTTGTAATATTTCGGTTCCTGGAAGAGCAGATTCTAGTATTTCTACATGCACCTCTTTCTCATGAAACACAGGCGCATTATCATTAACATCCAACACTTCCACTACAACGCTATGTAGTTGCATTGGATTTGTCATAATCATTTCAAAATTCAAGCTACAGGGCGATGTCTGTCCGCAGAGCTGCTCCCTATCTATTCTGTCTCCCACCACAAGAATCCCTTTGTCTGCATCCAGCCTGATGTACTCGCTGCTATCTCCGCTAACAATTCGTGCACCGCCTGATATGAGTCTTTTAGCGTCTATACCTAAGTCTTCAGCTACATTTCCTACAAAGGAGCCCTTTCTCATCTCCTCTGGGACAGAGTAGCGGATCTGACTGACTGCCGCGTCAATGAAAAAAACAAAGATGAAGGCCCGTACTTGCCATGTAATCGTGGGTTCACTGCTTATAAAAGGCATATTCCCGAAGCAATCCACCCAACTCCACATAAACGTATTTGCAAAAAGCCGAGCTATTATCCCGTATTGTCCTTCTGTTGATGTATTTATAATCCACAGAGTGAAAACAAATGCATAAGTAAAAAAAAATCACAAGTGAAAAGGAAGACTGAATGTCCTGCTGTCCGCGTATACACTAACTGAAATAGAGGAAGAGTAAGTGCATTTCAAAGGCTTCACGTCTGCTTTAAAGACCAACAGCGGCCCTTAGAGTACGATAGGAAAATAACAAGTGAATAAGGAAAAGAGAAAAAAAAAAGCCTCTTTAAATGGCAATTGAGAGTGTGAAGCTAACTATTTGTCTAGGAGATACGTTTAAAATAAGGTGTGCATGTTCTATTAAAACAAAAAATAAGACATAAAAGATGCAGCTTATAAGGTGATTAAATGAAAGGAAGAGATAAAGAGTAACAGCAAAATGCAGTTCTATGAGATATACAACTGCAAAAACTCTGTTTATCGTTCTATAAGTCTTGTTTTCTCCCTCCATGAAAATACACTTGGGTGGAAGGTGAAAGACCACAGATATTTTCTAATTACAACAGACATCAAACACCCCATACAGTACGAAAACATTATAGTTTGGCAATATAACGGCATCAGAGCAGGCCGTTTGAATGGTGTGTATGTTTCTTACTGACTCTTTCACCTCAGTTGAATGATTCAGCTCAGAAAGGAGCTGTCCACCACTAGTGGTGCTGAAGTTGCCTTTTGCGAAGGCAGTGAGACATACCTGAAAAATCAAGTCATATATCTAATAATACCCTCTAAGTAATGCATTGTACATTTATTGAGTATAATGGCCGAAAAACAAACCTCTAGAGGAGAATCTGGTTCATCCAGGATGCTCTTTTCACTCTGCATCCGCTGCATCGTCCCTGTAGAACTGGGGTCCATTATCAGCACGTTCTGACTACCAGCTCTGCCGAACTTACAGTCACTCTTTCTGGAGTCAGTCGTCCTGCACACCTCGTAATTGTACACGTGTTGGAGAGTCCCTGTCCCCAAAGTGTCTGAATAACGTGGAGGATAATATGGAATCACAGGGAGATTGGAGTGATACAGGACGCGAGACTGTCTCCATCTGTAGATTTTCACTGATATAATAACCACTAAACACGTGATGAAGAGGAAGGAAACTACGGCCAAAGCCAACACTAAGTAAAAAGTCAGGTTGTCATTGTACTCCTTGTCGTGTGTAAAGTCAGTGAACTCCGACAGCACTTCAGGGAAGCTGTCCGCCACCGCCACGTTAACAATGACTGTAGCTGAACGAGAGGGCTGCCCGTTGTCCTCCACTATAACAGTCAGTCTTTGTTTCACAGCATCTTTATCAGTGACTTGGCGGATGGTTCTTATTTCTCCATTCTGTAAGCCCACTTCAAACAGCGCCCTGTCTGTGGCTTTCTGCAGTTTATAGGAGAGCCAGGCATTCTGTCCAGAGTCCACATCAACAGCCACCACTTTAGTGACCAGATAGCCCACATCTGCTGAACGAGGCACCATCTCAGCCACCAGAGAGCCACCAGTCTGGACCGGGTACAGAACCCGAGGAGGGTTATCGTTCTGGTCCTGGACTATTATTCTGACTGTAGCCACCGAGCTCAGAGGAGGGGATCCAGCATCACGAGCAGTTACGTTAAATTCAAACCACTTGATTTGCTCATAATCAAACGACCTCACTGCATGAATGACGCCATTGTCTGAATTTATTGACACCAAAGAAGACACGGCTACCCCATTAATCTGTTTCTCCTCCAGAAAGTAAGAAACTCGCGCGTTTTGGCCCCAGTCGGCATCACTAGCACTGAGACTAAACACAGAAAATCCAGGAGGATTGTTCTCCGGTACAGTCTTACTATATTCTGATTGATCAAATTTGGGTGGGCTGTCATTCACGTCAGACACTTTTACATTGATGTTTTTACTGCTGGTCAGAGGCGGAGAGCCTTGGTCAGAGACGGTTAAGGTGATGTTATACTCAGGAATACTTTCTCTGTCTAAGTAGTCTTCGGTTACTACAGTATAGTATCCTGTTAATGAAGACTCAACTTTGAATGGTACGTCAGAGTTAATGGAGCATTTGACGACACCGTTACCGTCAGAGTCTTCGTCATCAACATTAACAACAGCTATAGTTGTACCTGGAGGAGAATCCTCGGATATCGAGTTAGAAAATGACATGAGCTGTATTGTAGGGATGTTGTCATTCTCGTCAATTATTTGAACGATGACTTTGCACGTATCTGTATATCCCCCATGGTCACTAGCTTTGACGTTTAATTGATACGTTTTAGATTTTTCAAAATCTAATTTACCTGCAACTTTAATCTCTCCAGTTTTAACATTTACTTCAAAAAGCTGTTTTGCCTCTTTGGCAACATGAGCTATGGAATAAGTTACCTCACCATTAACTCCTTTATCTGCGTCATTTGCACTAACAGTGGTCACAACTGTTCCTTCAGGAGAATTTTCCTTGACATCTGCTTTATAAACAGGCTGGCTGCACACTGGCACGTTATCGTTAGCATCTAGCACAGTGATATGAATACGCACCGTCCCTGATCTATGTGGCTCTCCTCCATCTGAAGCAATCAGCACGAGTGTGTGAGTCTCCTCTTTCTCTCGATCTAACGGGTTTTGTAAAACCATTTCGATAAATTTTCCTCCATCAGGCTGACTCTGTACTTCCAATTTGAAATGATCTGAGGGTTTAAGCACGTATTTTTGAATATCATTAATAACAACATCAGGATCGTCTGCACTCTCAAGTGAGAATCGAGTCCCCGATGCAGCATTTTCAGCGATTTTCAAACTGATTTCATCCTTTGGGAACGACGGACTGTTATCGTTTATGTCTATTACCTCCACTGTTACACGATAAAGCAGGATTGGATTTTCTAAAATGACTTCGAAGCTGAAGCTACAGGGCGTCGTCTTTCCACACAGATCTTCTCGGTCGATTCGCTCTTTAATAACTAGTCTGCCTTTGTCTCGGTTTAAATCAACATACTGACGACTTCCTTTTGTAATAATACGAGCTTTACCTGATACGAGCCTCGCCACATCCAAACCTAAATCTCTAGCGATGTTTCCAACAAAAGACCCTTCTGCCTGCTCCTCCGGTACGGAATACCGAGCCTGTCCGGTCACTGAGCTCAGCTTGAGAAGACAAAGAATGGCAAACAGCGCTTGCCATCGGCCTCTGAGAGCGGTTATCCACATACAAGCCATCATAAATCCAGAGATACAGACGCAGTAATCCCTTTCAATACCAAACTGGTATTTTAAAATCCATAAACTGAGAAGGCAAAAGTATCGTTCAGTAGAGAATTTCTACAAGAAAAGCTAAACCAGACCGTCTTCTCTCCAAGCAGTAAAACACTGGAATGAATTAAAGGGGTGGACCGCTGCACTGCTGATTTGGACAGCTAGTCAGTGATGTATCAACAGCGGCGCTCAGAGCCCATCCACGGTAATGTATGTGGTGTGCACATTATTAGGAACAGTCTAAATGTTGTTTTCAAAGGTTATGGACAGTTTTTAAGATTATTATTGTATAAAACTGCATTAAAATGTGACCATAAAGCAGTACAACTGAAGGCTAGTCCTGTGTTCACACAGTGATGAAACACAGTTTCACAAAAGCATCTGAAAGTTTCAGGTTATAGTAAAATCACGTTGTTATCCATTAAAACATCATCCTGTTATGTTCACAACTGATGCTGCAGGCTGAAATATTTATTACTGATCTACAGAATGAATAAACAAATATGACCGTTGAACAAACACATCATACCACAATAAATATTCTGAACTATTAGATGAGAAAGGAAAAAAGAGGAAGGATGAATTTTCTTTTCTTTTCTTTTGAGTTGCCATACAATTTTTATTTCGCCCTGGAAAACGCACAGTTTGTTTTCTAATTGAAAACATTGTGGTTTCTTGAAAAATATCTTAGAATAGTGATATAATCAAAAATGGAAAAAAGTCTTTGTAAAAAAAAAATCTGGCAAAATTGTTGATGCCACATCCAATGATAAAGTTGTTGAAATCTAAATGTTCAGCATAATAATGGATATGTCTGCCAAAAACAACACACAGACTGTGGTTTGAGTGACTCTATTAAATTCTCTTATTGTGTCGTTCTTTACATAGTGCCATTTCCTGTCTTTAAATATAAAGTATAGCTTCCACTTCACTACAACAGGTAAAGAAAGTTATTTCAATAGGAATCCGTCGACAATTCCAGCACCATGGACAGCGACAGTGAGACTCTACTGACAGCAGTGCGCATGCACCAAAGACTTTGACACAACATAATACAAGAGCGAGTGATTTTAAGAACAAAACATGAAATATATCACTCACCAAAGTTGACATTTGAGAAAAGTTTCCAGACAGTTGCTTGTCCACCTGCGAAGTGTCAGTCTCAGCTCCATCCACACTCACTAAACTTTGACTCATCGGTTGCATACATTTCATGTCACTCTTTCTGGAGTCAGTTGTCCTGCACACCTCGTAATTGTACACGTGTTGGAGAGTCCCTGTCCCCAAAGTGTCTGAGTAACGTGGAGGATAATATGGAATCACAGGGAGATTGGAGTGATACAGGACACGAGACTGTCTCCATCTATAGATTTTCACTGATATAATAACCACTAAACACGTGATGAAGAGGAAGGAAACTACAGCCAAAGCCAACACTAAGTAAAAAGTCAGGTTGTCATTGTACTCCTTGTCGTGTGTAAAGTCAGTGAACTCCGACAGCACTTCAGGGAAGCTGTCCGCCACCGCCACGTTAACAATGACTGTAGCTGACCGAGAGGGCTGCCCGTTGTCCTCCACTATAACAGTCAGTCTTTGTTTCACAGCATCTTTATCAGTGACTTGGCGGATAGTTCTTATTTCTCCATTCTGTAAGCCCACTTCAAACAGCGCCCTGTCTGTGGCTTTCTGCAGTTTATAGGAGAGCCAGGCATTCTGTCCAGAGTCCACATCAACAGCCACCACTTTAGTGACCAGATAGCCCACATCTGCTGAACGAGGCACCATCTCAGCCACCAGAGAGCCACCAGTCTGGACCGGGTACAGAACCTGAGGAGGGTTGTCGTTCTGGTCCTGGACTATTATTCTGACTGTAGCCACCGAGCTCAGAGGAGGGGATCCAGCATCACGAGCAGTTACATTAAATTCAAACCACTTGATTTGCTCATAATCAAACGACCTCACTGCATGAATGACGCCATTGTCTGAATTTATTGACACCAAAGAAGACACGGCTACCCCATTAATCTGTTTCTCCTCCAGAAAGTAAGAAACTCGCGCGTTTTGGCCCCAGTCGGCATCACTAGCACTGAGACTAAACACAGAAAATCCAGGAGAATTGTTCTCCGGTACAGTCTTACTATATTCTGATTGATCAAATTTGGGTGGGCTGTCATTCACGTCAGACACTTTTACATTGATGTTTTTACTGCTGGTCAGAGGC